GTGGTTTGGGCTTTGCTTCTGTGAAGATTGACAGCCTTGGAAACCCTGTGGGCAGTTCCACTCTGTCCTCTAGGGGTGCTTTGGGTCAGAATTAACTCTGTGGCAGAGGGTTTATTTATTTATTTTTTATTTTTCCAAGGTGAAATCTTTCCCTGGTAGAGTAGAAAGATTGCCTCAGAGAGTGGTAGCGACTTCAGGCAACTTCAGCGATCTGAAAAAACGTAGAATCCAGTTTCCCATAGAGGGTGATCCGTAGAGGAGGGAGAATGAGTCCTCAGGGGTATGTGAAGGAAAGAGTCCCCCAAATCTTTTTGCATCTTGATTCTGAGTATAGTTTGAAGGTTTTCTGAATGTGTTGCTTGTCTGTAAAGAGGAAGATTGGCACACGCAGAAAGAGCCCTTTGTGTGAGATGAATGGAGAGCAGTGGTGGCTTAGGGGTAGATTTCTCCCCTTTCATGCAGGAGACCCCTGGTTCAGTTCCAGGCCAAGGTACCTCAGTCCAGCCACCAGTAGGATGCAGAACAGGTTTCAGCAGAGCTTCCAGACTCACACAGACTAGGAAGAAAGGCCTGGTGATCAGTTCTGAACATTGGCCAAGGGGAGCCCAACGGTCTCATCACTGGGCTGCATTCAGTTCCGTTGTGCACGGGGTCACCATGAGTCGTTGGCAGCCTACAGCAACAATGAAGTGGATGTTTCGGAGCTGGAGCTGGGCCCTGGTCCCCAGCCATAACTGTGCTTTGTTTTCTTTTCTGTGGTCACAGGGGGGAAGAGGCTCATTCATGGTCTTTGCCAGACACGGTGAGGAAGGAAAGCAGCGGGCTGAGTGTCACCCAGTCAGCCTGTGGGAAGAGTGGCCAACAGTTCTGCAGCACGCTGACCTTGACCGCAGCTCAGGCAAACCACACCGGCTTCTACAGTTGCAAATATTTATCTACACCTGCCTCAGAGAAGAACAGAACAGAGTCTTCAATCTATATATTTATTAATGGTAAGAGTTCTCTGTTTTTCTAAACTCTGGTTGCTATCACACCCTGAGCCATTAGAAAGGTGTCTTTCTTCATCAGTGTGAAAGTAATGGACCAGAAAAGAGATTTCACCCTAGGTCTAGAACCTTGAAGGTGCCCTGGTGGTGCAATGGTTAAGCATTGGCCTGCTGACCGAAAAGTCAGTAGTTCAAATCCACTAGCTGCTCTGCAGGAGAAAGATACGGCAATTGGTTTCCGTAAAGAGTAAACCGAAAAAAACCAAACTCACTGCCATCCAGTTGCTTCCAACTCATTGTGATCCCTTTGAGTTTCCAAGTCAGTAAATCTCTACAGAAGTAGTTTGTCCAGTCTTCCTTCAGTGGAGGGGCTGGTGGGTTTGAAACGCCAAACTTCTGGTTAGCAGTCAAATAAATGCCTTCACTCTGCCAAAACCTTATGGTGCAGTTCCACTCTGTCCTCTAGGGGCGCTGTGAGTCAGAATGGACTCCATGGCAGTGGGTGTGGTTTGGGCTTTGCTTCTGT